AAGAAATACATCAATATTTCCACCCCTGTCTGTCTGCATTAATTCATACATTACTATGCACTTGTGTCTTGGCATCTGCTGGTTCAAGATTCGCCAGTTTGGAGTACATCATCACTGACTTGGCTGCCATATGGCTTCCCTTTTTTGTTCCAAGTTTTGATCAGTCAAATGATGCCAAACTGGCTGATGGCATTCTCAGGAAGGAAGAGGTTTAGTATGGAGCCAATCTACTGAGGTGTTTTCTTAAAGAAAGATGTGTGTTAAGTTGTAAAAAAAATACATAACTATATAAAAATATACTTTGGGGGCTAGTCAGGGCTTTGTAGGCCTTGAATCCAATCCCTTAGGAGGCAGAGGCAGGCCAAGTTCTCTGGGTGTAGGCCAGTCTGGTTTACAGAGGAAATTCCGAGACAGCCAGGGTTACCTAGTAAAACCCTGTCTCAAACAAATAAAAAAAAAAAACAAACCCAAAATAGAATTAAAAAAAAAAGTCAGAGTGAATGATTTTCCTAGAGACAGCTCAGAGATAAATTGCAAAATTTGTTTTATCCTTAAAGGAAAATTCTTTTCCTAAAATTTCAACTGGTACTGTGCTCATGTGCCTGACTGAAATTATTCTTCATTACCAGTAGTGTTAGTTTTATTCCCCCAAAGCCGTGCAGCCTCTTCTAACACTGACAGCAAGTGAAAGAGGAAAGAAAGCTGATGATGTTGTATTTTAGCAATGTTTAAATGACTCTAAATTTCTCCGGAATGTTTTGAAAGATGCTCTGATCATAATCTCATCATCTGGAAATGTACAAAGAAGTCTGGCCCATGCCTTTTCTATGACTTATTCCAAACTGTTCAGCTTTGTCTTGCTTTCACAATTCCCAATAGCAGCAGAGACCACTGTAAAGATATGCAAAATGACACCAAAGAAATGAAGATAGAAGAAAGAAGGTACAGAGCAATAAACCGAAGAGACTAAGATAAGTGTAAAGTGAATCCAGATAACAAACAAAGAGGCTAGAAAATGTTAACTAAGCCTTTCTCTGAAATTGCTGGGTCCAAAACAAATAGTATGAAAGTTTGGCCATAAATTTACAACATCCATGAGATGTTCTTAATGTTCATTATTTAAGAAGTGTAACTCCTGGATCTGTAGATGACTCAGCAGGTAAATGCACTTGCTACAAAAGCCTGATAACCGGACATTGATTTAGAGTTTGATTCAGAATACATGAGATGAGAAATGAGAGAATTGACTTCCAGAAATAGGACTTTTGACCTCCACACACATACCTATATGCACACAAGCACATATACCACATAAAAATACACACACACAAAGAGAGAGAGAATAATGAATATAATAAAAATGTATTTTAAACACATTGTTTGTGCTGTAGCAATGGCTTTGTAATTGGGAGCATTTATTATTTTAGAAGATGCAAATTTTGCTCCCAGCATGAACATGGTGGTTCACAACCATCTAACTCCTGTTCAAGAAGACATGATGCCCTCTTCTGGCCTCATTAAGTACCCTACAGCACCAGATAGATACTCATCATAGGAGAAAAAAAAACTCATAAAACTAAAAATAATAAAAATGCAACTTTGTAGTGCCAAGGATTCATAGAAACATTGTCAACTGGAGGGCTTCATAAACATGACAGGTTCTCCCTGAGACTCTTAGTCTAACTCAGCAATGAATGCATGTGAGTGCCAGAAGCACTGCTTTGGAAAGAAAGGGAGCAAGAAACAGAATGCAATTCTCTATCTCCCATTCTAAGGGAAGCCATAGATTTATTTGCTGAACTTGGATTGCATGACTGAAGGACTGTGAAATGATCATGTTTGAGGATTTCAATGATAAAAACAGCACAATATTACAAGGTTTTAGTTAGGCTTTGATAAGTATGTATTGTTTTGAGATTTTATATTTTAATTTTAATTTTTATTTTTCCATTTTATATCTCATTTTAGGCCCCTCCCACCTCTTCTCCCCTCCATGGGCCCACCATTCTGTCCCTCTCTGGTTCTCCTATCTGCCTACCCTACTACTCAGAGAAGAAGAGCCCCACCTATCACCCACCCAACCCTAGCACATCAAGTCACAATGCGATTGAGCACACCCCTTTCCCCCCTACCCTCTGTAGTCGGTGCGGTACCCCAGCTAGGAAAAATGATTGAAAAGCAAGCAACAGAGTCCATTCCCCTTACTAGGGAACTCACATGAAGACCTAGTTCACCATCTGCTATGTCTTTGTAGGAGGCCTAGGTGGTCCATGCATGGACCTTGTTTAGTGCTTCACTCTATGCAGGCCATCCTGGGCCCTGGTTAGTTGGCTCTGTTGGTCTTCTTGTGGAGCTCCTATCCTTTCAGGGTCCTTCTATCCTTCCCCCAACTCTTCCACAAGACTCCATACACTCCATCCATGTTTGGTTCTGAGGCTCTGCATCTGTTTCCATCAACTCCTGGATGGAGGCACTCCGTGGCTAGGCTCCTGTCTGCAAGAGTAACTGAGAATTGTTAATCATGTCAGGAGTTGGCTTCCTCCCATGAGGTGAGTCTCAGGTTGGACCAATCATTGTTTAGAAATTTCCTCAATCTCTGCTTTATTTTTGGCCCTGAACATCTTGTAGGCATAGTAAATTTTGGGTCTAAGTTTTTGTGGTTAGGTTAGTATTCCCCTCCCTCCACTAGGTGTTTTATCTAGATAGAGGCTGGCCTCTTCAGTCTCCATGACCCCCATTAGTAGGAGTCTAGCTAGAGTTACCCTCCTATCATTTTAGGAGCCTACCCTGTCATAAATCTCCAGCTTGTGACAGAGAAGTTACTGCCCAAGGTTTCTCTTCTCTCTGCAGGCCTTCTGTCTTTCCACCTCTGTTCTCATCTGGTCTCATACCAACCCTCATATTTCTCAATGATCCTCTGTTACTGTTTCCTCTTTTCAACCACTTTCACTCTCTATTTCGATTTCTGAGGAAGAATTAAGCATCCTCCCTTGAGTCACCTTTGCTACATATCTTCTTTGGGTCTCTGAGTTGTAATATGGTTATCCTGTATTATATGGCTAAAATCCACTTGTAAGTGAGAAAATACCATGTATGTCTTTCTGGGTCTGGGTTACCTCACTCAGGATAATCTTTTCTAGTTCCATCCATTTGCCTGAAAATTTAATGGTTCTTCGTTAACAGCTAAGTAGTATTCCATTGTGTAAATGTACCACAATTTCCCTGAGAGACATCTAGGTTGTTTCCATATTCTGGCTATTATGAACAGCTGCTATGAACAAAATTGACCTAGTGACCTTGCTGTATTGTAGAGAATGTTTTTGGGTATATTCCTGGGAGTGGTATAGCTGGGTCTTGAGAAAGAAATTCTCCCAATTTTCTGAGATATCACCACCAGATTTATTTCCAGAGTGGTTGTACAAGTTTTCACTCCCACCAAAAATGAAGGTATGTTTCCCCTTTTTCCATATCCTTGCCAGAATATGCTGTCACTTGTGTTTTTAATCTTAGCCATTCACTTGTGTGTAAAATGGAATCTCAGAGTGATTTTTTGATTTGTATTTCCCTGTTGGCTAAGAAAACTGAACAACTCTTTAAGTGCTTCTTGGCCACTCAAGATTCCTTACGTTATTTGTGGCCATTGTGAAGGGTGTTGTTTCCATAATTTCCTCTTCATCCCATTAGTCATTTGGATACAAGACGGTTACTGATTTTTTTTTTTTTTTAGTTAACTTTGTATCTCATCACTTTGCTGAAGGTGTTTATCAGCCATAGGAGTTCCCTGGTAGATATTTTAGAGACACTAGGTATAGTATCATATCATCTTCAAATAGTGATACTTTGATTTCTTCCCAATATTTATCCCCTTGTTCTCCTTTAATTGTCTTATTTCTTTGGCTAGGACAAAGTACTCTATTGAAGAGATATGGAGAGAATTGGCAGTCTTGTCTTTTTCCTGATTTCAGTGGAATTTCTTTAATTTTCTTTCCATTTAATTTGATGTTGGCAATAGACTTGCTGTATGTTGCCTTTATTATGTTTAGGTATGTGTCTTGTATCCCGGATATTTCCAAGAGCTTTATCATGAAGGAGTGTTGGATTTTCTTAAATGCTTTTTCAGCATCTAATGAGATGATCATAGTTTTCCCTTTCAGTTTGCTTATATGGTGAGTTATGTTGATGGATTTTTATATATTGAGCCACCCCTGCAATTCTGGGATGAAGCCTATTTGATACTGGTAGATGATATTTTTGATGTGTTCTTTGATTCAATTTGCAAGTATTTTATTGAGTATTTTTGCATCAATGTTTATAAGGGAAATTGGTCTGAAATTCTCTTTCTTTGTTGTATCTTTGTGTGGTTTAGGTATTGGGGTGACTGTGGCCTAATAAAATGAGTTTGGCAATGTTCCTTCTGTTTCTATTTCGTAGAATAGTTTGAGGAATATTGGTAGTAGCAATTCTTTGAAAGTCTGGTAGAACTCTTTACTGAAACCATCTGACCTTGGCTTTTTTGTTCTGTTTTTTGTTTGTTTGTTTGTTTGTTTTGTTTTTTGTTTTTTGTTTTGGATGGGAGACTTTAAATGATTGCTTCTATTTCCTTAGTAGTTATAGAACTATTTAATTTGTTTACCTGATCTTGATTTAACTTTGGTAAGTGGAATCTATTTTAAAAATGTCCATTTCTCTTAGATTATCTAATCCTTTAGAGTTCAGCCTTTTGCAGTAAGACCTAATAATTCCTTAGATTTCATCAGTGTCTGTTGTTATGTCCCCTTTACATTTCTGATTTTGATGATTTGGATACTCTCTCTGCCTTTTAATTAGTTTGGCTAAGTGTTTGTCTATCTTGTTGATTTTCTCAAAGAACCAGCTTTCGGTTTCATTGAATCTTTGTATTGTTCTTTTTGTTTCTACTTAATTGATTTCAGCCCTGAGTTTGATTATTTCCTGCCGTCTACTCCTCTTGAGTGTGTTTGCTTTCTTGTTTCTAGAGATTTAGAACTATGGAAAACTTCACAATTTTCCATATCATCCATGTACAGAGGCAATGTTACTCTTCTCTGTATCATTCCAATTTTAGTATATGTGCTGCTGAAGCACACACAAGTGTGTTCATTTATATTGGTTATATTACCCATAATTATTTCCACTAAAAATTTAACAATTCTCTCTCTGAAAGTAGCATACTAGCGGCATCTCTGTGGGATTAAGAGTCCAAGTTTGAGACCCAGCACTATAGCAATTTAAGAGTCCTGTAGCTAAAATTCAAGCTTGAATGCTATAAACTGTGTTCATATTGTATGTGACATGTTTAACACTTACTTGATGAGACTACATAAAATTTTCTTAATCACTTTGTTCCTATATTTTTTTCTAAAGAAAAGAAGAAAAAGCAAACTAACTCTACCTGTATCATAATAGATTTGAATAGGAATTGAGTTGGTCCAGACAAGAACTGTTTACTTATCGTACCAATTGTACCCAGCACATAATAGGCTTAGTACGTCAGAAACTTAGTCCCTTAGTAAATTAGAAAGCTTGTCTCCTTTACAGCTTTCTGTGGCATAAGCTGTGGCATAAGAGAAAACAAAACAGTTCTCAAAGAACACTGGTAATGTGATAAACTCTCCTAGCAACTTGAAGCATCAGGTCAAGCTTTCTTTGAATCACAGAAACTGCAATTAGTAAGAGGAGAGGCAGACATGAAGGTGAGCGTTCCTTGTTCATTCGGCTCTCTTCTGAGTCCTTTCACCAGATTCCACCCCTGACTCTAAAGAGGAAAGGAAATGCCAAACCTTTTTTTTTTTTTTTTTGCCACAAGAAAGTTGTAATTGAAAACAAGAGTGCTGAGCTGAATATGGCTTCAGCAGATTCCTGGTTAAATTAGAAGGGGCTTTCATTTAAGTCCTTCTGTTGATGTGTCACTGTGCTCTGTCACTCTGAGAAGCAATGGTGCTTCGTTATCAGCACTGAGCCCTGGCAGGCTTCTGATGGACACTTAGACTAAAACAGAATGCCAGAATGATGAAGGCGCTGCTCACCTTTCAAACTGCACACTGCAGACAAGCACAATGGTTCTGACCCCATGTCCTGTGCAGCCCAGTAGCTAGGATAATCTTTTGTAATCACTTTAACAATGAGATGGTCATTTGAAATCTTTGTAAGGTTGATTGGATTCTGACAGAAGCATGGATAGTTGTGATTTTACTAGAGGCATAGCATATAAAGTCATTATTGCCAAGTCAAATAACTAAAAGTATAATATGATAATTACTTTATCTTTTTAATGTGAAACTTCTGTTTAGAAAACCCTTTAATAAAGATACTCAGAGAGGACTGTTTGTCACCCTTGTGCCAGCTTGTCCCCAGGCTCTGAGCTCAGTACTGGAAATGGAAAGAAAGACCAAGATTCTATGTCTAGCAGAGACCTATATGAGAAAGTGGTGACTGACAAATAAAATATCAAGAAAAGCAGCATGCACAGAATATTGCTGAAGCATAAAATGCAACTATCTTGATATCTCATAGACAAAGATCTGCAGAAATGATACATGTCCAAACTTATTCACTGACAGGTCACCAAAATTCGCATATGGCAGTATTCATATTAAGATCCTACTACTTCCATAAGCCATAAACATGGCTTCTCTTTAGAATAGTTGAGCAGTCATTTCTAAATGAGCCTAGAAGAAATTTATTAAGATTAGTAACTACTCAACCCTGCTGTTCCTCTTCCTCTTAACTCATCTGCCCTATACACTATACACACACAAGCAAATATGCAAATGCCACACATACTCATACACAATATACAGACTCAAATATACATTTACACATACACCTTTCACACATATCACACACACACACACACACACACACACACACACACTAACCATCTCTACCCAGACAGACATCTTCTCACTCCCATGTTTTTATTATATAGACAGCATCTTCACTGTTCTCTTATTTTCTTCTTTGGTCTATTTGAGACATTAAGGTGTAATCAATATTGTGTCAGATAGCTAAAGAGTATCTACAACGGCATGGATTGTGAAAATAATGATTCTATTCACACCACATTGCTGCTCATAAAGTACAGCTGTGTTCTTAGCATCTTCATAGTTTTTCCAAAGTCCACACCTCTCTAGGGCATTGTTCATGAACGGTAACAGTGCTACTCTGAGTGTTAAACCAAAAAAAAATTCATATCATTTCAAACCAGAAGTTAATATCAACATGAAGAATAGTAATGTGATAACAATTAATGTAAACAGAAACCATGAATTTGAGGTAGATCAAGAATGAATATATAAAAAGATTTGGAGAAAAGATAAGGAAGAATGAAATGATATAATTATATTATAATCTCAAAAAATAAAAGAAGTATTTTTAAATCAAGTGAAATGGAATGAGTTAAAGAATTTTATTTGATTTCATCATATTAAACAAACTTTTCAGAATAGTTTGTCTTCTCAACATTAACACTCTGAATAGCCAACTTTTAACTAAAAGGTTTCTTTGCATTTCATCACAAGTTTTAAGGAACGATTCAATCAAATTTTTGGGTGCCATCTCTTTGAAAATATATTCTCTGTGAATCACTCCCTGGTGGCTGAAGCCAACAATGCAAGTGTGCCTCAGTCCAGACACATGTGTGTAATGACACAAAGTAAAGAAAATCATGTTTACATTGTTACGCATGTGCCCACTGATATTCTCTTTTGCAGTGACCTTGTCTGCCCTCATTCTACTAAGATCATGAGAGTGAGAACTTGACCTTCACAGTTACAGTTATATCTTAGTACGTTGAAAAGTAGAATATATATTTCTGATAAAAAGCATATGTATTCCGATACCTAATATATTACATACATTTGTATTTCTGGTAGATAAATAAATACTGGGGGTTTTTTTTGTTTTTTTTATTTATTTATTTATTTTTATTTTTTTTTTTTGGATCGTGAGTAATAAAGTGAGCAGTAATACAGCCGTGGTCCAAGGAAAACAGAAGAAAAAGCATATGTACACTGAAGAAAAAGCATATACATAAATAGAGCATTGTAACCAAAGATTTGATTTCTGCCTGAGAAATCAGAACATTTCCAGGGAGATGTATGTTACAGCTTTTACTTCGTGCCATGAAATTTTCTTTTGATAGAAATGGGGGCTGGTCTTACTGTGTAGCCCTGGTTGATCAGGCTGGCCTTAAATACACAGGGAGCCCACTGCATCTACCTTCTGTTGGTAGTAAAAGCATAGGTGAGAGTACCTATAGCTCTGAACTTCTAAAAGCATTGTCCCTGGTCCAGGTTACAATGAAGTGTGCCACCTTACAGCATTGTTTGAAACTTGCTTTGACATGAGCGCACTTGACTTTAATTTCCCATATCAACAGTCATGTATTGTACATAATAGCTATTTCTCTTTAGCAGTAAATTTTCTTAGCTGATTTTTCTCACACTTCTATTTGCCAGCTGTTTTTCCAAGCACTTGGTAGTAAGATAGTGAGTGGTATTTCAGGAAAAGTTGAGTCAGCCTAGTTGCTATCAAGGACAGAAATGAAGATGACTAATTTTAGTGAATAAAAGCGATGTGTCTACTGTCCTCATTCTTTCATAATTTTATAAACAATACTATTAAAATGTCAAACATATCTGAAGAATAACCAATACTATTTCTAGTCGCATTCTATGGAAAAACTTTAACAGGTTGTAGCTGTCATAATGATCTACCTTATGAGACAGAACAAGGAGCACAGCAACAAAATATATGAAGAGATCAGCAATTTCTAAGCAACTGACTTTTACTTGTATTTTTTTAACTTTCTGGTGGTTTGAAATATGGTTCTCAGTAATTTAAAGTATGTGAAATTATATCTTTGTCAGTTTGCATTCAGGTTTCACAATCAGTTTATTTAAAAATTAAGTCAAATTTTGAAAGACAATAACTTTGAAATAAGTTATAGAAAATTATTTATTGTGTATTAAGCTTTAGAGTAAATAAAAACAGTCAAGAGAGTTTTATTTTCTATTATACAATAATTAAAAAAGAAAATTCAGCATCTAGTTGCCTTCTTCCAACTACCCTCCTTTAATCACAGAAAACATGCACATTTATGTAGTTATTAAGACAAAAATGAATGCATCATAATTTTTCAAAAATTTGGCATGATCTACAAGAGTTAATATGGGAATGGACTGGCAGACAACACCACCATTGATATTACACTATATTTAAGGAGTCAAAAAAAAATTGAATTAAACATGGAATTTTGTATAAAATTAAACATTGTTTGAAAGGTGTCTTTCCATAAAATGGAAAGGTCATGTCATATATTATTCATTTTGTTGAAGGGAAAACAACTCAAATGAAAATTGGAAACATTAATTAAAAGGCAAATTAAAATGACTAGGGGGAAATAAAGGGAGCATCAAATGGTAGAAATGTGCCACAATAGTAGTGATCAGATAATTTCCTCGAACATTCTGATAGAAACTGTATTTCCACCTAGCCCTGCAGTATATTATCCACATTTGCTGTTTCTGTCTAGTTTTCAAGGTTAAAAGAAGTGTATAAGAGTCTGGGATATTCATGCCAATCTGTGTTTAGTATAAGATCTGACCATTACTCTTTGATCACCTCCCCCTGATTGGGAAGCAACATTACCAGATGACAATGAAGCCAGTATTGATGAGACCTCATAGGCTAGAGTCAGATGGAAGGGGAGGAGAAGCTCCCCTATCAGTTGACTTGGGGAGGGGCATGAGAAGAGATGAGGGAGGGAGAGTATGGTTGGGAAAGGATAAGGGAGGGGCTACAGCTAGGATACAAAGTGAATAAAGTGCAATAACTAACTACTTAAATAAATAAATAAATAAATATGATATAATATATGAAAAAAGATATGGCCACTAAAGATATTTTAAAAATAATCATTCATAGTATTGGAAAAGTATTTTGAAATATCTTCCTATATCTATAATATAATTTTATGTACATACAAATAGCAATAATAGATTTGTGATTAGATATTACTATTAGCATGAATTTATACATATAAAATATCCCATCACTTTGATTACATAATAATGAAACAAAAG